ATTATTTATAAAATATCTTACGGAATTTATCGGTTTTAGCTGTTCAAATAAAGGAGTTTTACAGTAAAATCCCATATCTGAACAATCAGATGTATGGAAGATATATGTTGTAGTCACCCGATCCTTGTTATTTTCACTTTAAGTATTCTGTTAATAATGAGTGAAAATGGTGCGAAATTTCATGTTCCTAGCAGCATAAATGGAGGAGATATGATAAAAGACCTCATATCTGAACAATCAGTTGTATGGGGGCTGCAGGTTATAGTGACCCGATCTTCGTTATTTTCACTGTAAGTCTTCTGCTGATAATGAGTGAAAGCAGCGCGAAATTTCATGGTCCTAGCTACATAAATGGATGAATTATAACGAAAAACCTCATATCTGAACAATCAGTTGTATGGGAGCTGTAGGTTATAGTTATCCGATCTTTTTAATTTTCACTGTAAGTTTTCTGTTGATAATTATTGAAAACAGTGCGGAATTTCCTGTTCCTAGCTATATAAATGGAGGAGTTATAACGAAAAATTTTATATCTGAACAATCAGTTGTATGGGAGCTATAGGTTTTAGTGACCCGATCTTTGTAATTTTTACTGTAAGCATTCTGTTGATAATGGGTGCAAGTGCTGCGAAATTTCATGTTCGTAGCTGCATAAATGAAGAAGTTATAACGAAAAATCTCATATCTGAACAATCAGTTGTATAGGAGCTATATGTTATAGTGGTCCGATTCTTCCGGTTCCGACAAATGATTAATACATTATTAAAATACACCCACCTACCAAATTTGATCCGGATATCTCGAAAACTGAGAGACTAGATTGCATACAAACAGACGGACAGACAGACAGACGGACAGACGGACATGGATAAATCAACTCAGCTCGACGTTCTGATCATATAAGTATACATTTTAATGGGTCTATCTCTTTTTGTTCTGGTACTTACAAACATCGGACCAAAGTTATAATACCATTTCATGCTCATGAAAGGTATAAAAATAACAATAGAAAAAAATTAAAAGGGAAACCGCACAAATAGTGGATTTCATATTTGCACGGGGTGCAGCTAGACAACCAGAACTCCCAGCTGCAGCCCTTCAAGACGAATTTATTAGTGCTCAAAATACATATACATTCCATATAATTTTATTCCCACACTTGGAAGGACATTTGATAAATAACCTTTAAAAATGTTAGAGTAAAATGTTGTTTATCCACTTGAGAATTAAGAATTCCTTGTGCATATTGGGAATGCTAACTGATTTATATTCTCGAGTGACTTCACCACCAAACCCAGGATTTAGATTTACTGATGTCAGAAAAAAAAGTTTTGAATCGTGGGACGCAAAATATTGCGGCAATGACGATACGGGAAGTGGTACGATATCGTCGCTACCACGTCAAACTATCGAATGTTAAAAACACTTTTTCATTTACGACACATTGCGCATGCGTCTAGAACAGAGCACGGACTTTTCCACTTTATTGGTAGATCTACCAACTTTTTAGCTTTTTATTCTTTATTTTCTACCATTTGTACCAACAAAGGAAAAAAATCTACCAATATTTTCCGGAATGAAAGCAAAGAGATTTAAATTAACGCAGTGTATACATATTTTATCATCGAACAGACCTAAAATAAATATGAAAAGTTATCTCTGACCATGACCAATTTAAAGGGGAAATTGCATCTCTATCAGCTGTTTATGGAAATATTTTCTTTTGCAATACGTTTGTGCGGGAGACTTCCGAATGAATGGGTTGCAAACAGTGTGTAAACCTCTACCACATATGTATGTGGTAGATCTACCACATATTTTTTAAAATCTAGGTTTCTACCACATTTATATACAGAACATTTGATTGTTTTTGTTTATCGGCCTTTATATTGTAAACTGATGTCATTTTTATTTAATAAGCTCGATGCCCAGAGAATACATTAAACAGAGGTTTTACTTCTTAATTATTAACATGTAAAATTATTATAAAATATAAGTTAAACACAACTTACACTCTTAGTTGTGCCCGGTCGACCGATTAGGAGTGCAGAAATATAATTAAAGTAAGTGTACATTTTTGGGCAGAAGAACTTAAGCATAATAAAATAAACAATTAAGAATACCGTAGTTGTAAACACAAATTATATACCTTGAACATTGAATTTTAGACAAGCGAACATAAGCATAAGAAGTAAAAAATTTAACTATGCCGTAATTATAAACAAACAAGTAAGAGCAGCGCTGTCTTCGGCTATGCCGAAGGCTTCATACCTTTCATGAACATCTGCAAATTTTAGTTTGACAGATTACTGATTTTGAATACATCTGCATACATCGATAGAGGAGTTACATACTTATATAAAAAATCGCCTCTAAACAATCAGAGGTATGGAGGATATACTTTATATGGCACCAATCTA